TACCACCACTACCACCACCACCACCACCACCACCACCACCACCACCAGCGACAACAACAAAAAAATGTCCCCGTCAACCAAAGAATTATTTCAAAGACGACTCTTCCTATATAGTATCTATTATCTATTTGTGGTGGCCGAATTTTGCTATTCAAAAGGCTGCATCGATGAACATGCAGTTTTCAACAAAAGATTCTTTAAAATATTCTCCAGATCATGACGCCCTTCGTTTTTTCAGTTTTGAGACAGTTTTGCTGCAAAAAGCAAAATTTCTTTATTTCGCCGATCGCTTTTGTAGGCCGACGCTTCTGTCTCTGCAATTTTAGCAAATCCGGTGCGGAAGTGATATTTTGCGATGCGCATTTAGTTTTGAGAGTATAGATCTAGATCTAGACCTTCTAATTTTTTGCATCTCTCAAGATGTATTGCTCCATTCCAGTAGAGTGTAAATATAGTAGGCCAATGACTTTCAGTTGAAGTTAATGCCCCGATCATTCCTTTCATCGAAAGGGGACCCAGCTAGTTATATATAACGACAGCATCAAAGTGTTAAAAAGCGTAACATGTTTTTATCAGAGGGGGTTAAATCAACACGATGGCAAAACTAAACAAGGTATACAGAAGGGAGGACTTTAAGGTTCAAATGTGTCAACCACACGACATAGATCTAGATACCACGTTAAGTATAAATAAATATCTAGGGGAAACTTGGCTTTGATAAACTCATTGAAGTGGCGCATTCTGGTTATTTGACAACACTTGAAGCCGCACATTCTGGTTATTTAACAACACTTGATCATGTGCATTTTGGTTATTTGACAACACGTGATGACGGCCATTCCGGTTATTTAACGACACTTGATGACGTGCATTCTGGTTATTTGACAACTCTTGATGACGTGCATTCTGATTATTTGACAACTCTTGATGACGAACATTCTGGTTATTTGACAACACTTGATGACGTACATTCTGGTTATTTGACAACTCTTGATGACGAACATTCTGGTTATTTGACAACACTTGATGACGTACATTCTGGTTATTTGACAACTCTTGATGACGAACATTCTGGTTATTTGACAACACTTGATGACGTACATTCTGGTTATTTGACAACACTCGATGACATGCATTTTTGTTAACTAAAATCGGTAATGTCTGTCGAGATCGGCACTTGATGAAAATGATCGACACGCCTTAGATAATTTTGGAGCCGGGTTACATAACCACCACAACCACCACCACAACCATCATCATCATCATCATCATCATCATCATCATCATCATCATCATCATCATCATATATTATTATCGTCCCCGTTTAATAAAAAACAACGACACCTGCGTTCTATTAAACTAGAACTTCCCCCGTCTTGTCAATCTCTCAAGTGTGTTGAACAAACAATCGACATACAGACAGACAACACGACAAAAGAATTATCTTCTCCACACGCGATGTGTTCACAGACATCTTATATAAATTAAATAAACAACCTTTGTTACCCTAAAATTACAAAGTAGAATCTACTGCCTGCTCAGTCAGTACCCAGTTTTGATCAATTTGACGTGAACATTTTTGAGTTTCACAGCATGTCGAGCTTTTTCGAAAACAATTCTCTGAGAATTGTGATAATTACTTTTAATAGCCGTCCGATTTTGATAGAGCATCAGATAGAACATTTTGCTTCTAACCTCATGACTTTAGTTACTCAGGGGGCTCTCGTGGCCTAGAGGTTAATAATAATAATAATAATAGATATCATTTTTATAGCGCATATCCTCGCTCAACAGCAGGCTCTATGCGCTTTACACTATATTATTACCCCAGCAGACCATAGAACACTCCGAAACATTCTCAGCTTCCCGGGAAGCATACAGGTTAAGGTGTTGGCCTCTCATCAAAGGTCGTCATCGTGTTCGAATCCGGGTAGCGACCGAAACATTTTCTTCTCTAAAATTGTCTCCTTTCACCTCCTTTCCTGCTCTCTAGCAA